AAAAAAATGACATCATGAATTTACAGGCAAATGCTTGGAACTAGAAAAAATAATCTTCCTGAGTCAGGTATTCTAGACTCAGAAAGACAAATATGGTGTGTATTCACTTATATGTGGATTATATGTAGAGCTGTTATCCCAATGATAATCAAGCTACACTCCACAGAACCACAGACTATAAGCATAGAAAAGGAACTAGAGAAAACAGATAGATCTCAGTAGGAAAGGTAAACAGAATCGATATTTACGTATGAGGAAGGCCTGGAATGGGAGGATCAAATGGGGAGGGAGAGGCAAGAAGGGCTTATGACAGGGAATATGTGGAAATATATATAAAATTAAGGGGCATTTGTGGAGGTAGTGTGGAAACCTAACACAGTAGAAACTTCCTAAAATACATACAAATAAGAAGGCAATTAAAATAAAAATCAGCAAATAATGAGTGAGACACAGTCCTAACTGGCCATCTCTTGTTGCCCAACGAAGCTTCCAGTACCAGGGTTAATCCTAATGGAGTTGTTGGTCAAAGGGAGCCCATGGGAGTCCTCAAACAACCTAGCCTGATGCCAAGTCTATAAGTTACTCTCCAGAAACCATCAACAAGACCCCACTGTGGAACACATCTACACAATTCATTGAACAGGGTGAGATGAAGCTGGTGCCAACATAAAGCCTTCAACATATGTTCCAGTGTCTTTGGTACAGAAAGGTACTCTGTATGAATGGTATCAAAGAAGAAATATAAACATCAATCCAGCCACAATCCTTTATCTACAATTGTATACCTACTACAAGATATGCTAGGGTAACAGTAGCTGAACGTTTATGGGAGTAGTCAACTGATAACTGATCCAACTTTAGATCCACACCCTAAAATGGAACCCATACACAATACTGCTTGGGCAACCAGGAACCTGGGAATAGATAGCCCAAGGTCTAGTATAAAGCCAAATAATATAAGTCCAAATAAAAAGAAAAAAATGTAGTGATAAAATGACTCCTAATGATATTCTGCTACACGCATAGATCTGTGCATCTATGCCATCATCAGAAAAGCTTCCTCCTGCAGCAGATGGAACCAAATATAGAGATCCGCAGCCAGATACTATGCAGAAAGTTCAGAGACTTTGGAAGACTCAGCCTTTAATAAGATGTCTTTGTCTCCATCTAATCCCTCCCCTCAGAGCTCAGGAAACCCTGAGGAAGAGGAGGCAGAAAGAATTTAGGGACCAGAGGGGATGGAAGACACTAAGAAAACAAGGCTCTCTGAATAACCATGAGCAAAGCTCACGAACCTACAGAAACTGTGGCAGCAGCAGCATGCACAGGGCCTGCACCCATCAGTATCAGGCCCTGCTCAATTATCTTATGACTTCCACTTTACTGTTTTTAGAGGATTCCTGAGTGTGAATGAGTGAGTCTCTGAATCTTGTTCCTTCTCTTGGGCTCTTTTTCATCTGTTGGTTTGTCTTGTCCAACTCTGATCTTTTAATTTTTTATTATATTATATTTTTTCTTATCTTTAAAAATGAATGAATGAATGAATGAATGAATGAATGAATGAAATAAAACTTAGCTACTACCGTAAAGATTAACAACTGAATTGTCATTTATACCTGCTGGAGAGAGAAAATCAATTTTCTCCAATGGAGTGACACTGGGTATATCTTCCAATCCAGTGTATGCCCCATGATCAGGAGAAGTCCAACGTGTAATGGACTCCAATAGGGTTTTTCTCATTTTTGTTTTGTTTTTTTTCTGGTTTTGTTTTGGTGTGTGCATATGTGTCTGTGCCTGTGTGCTTTTATTTGGTTACAGTTCAGTGAGGTTTTGTTGTTGTATTTGTTGTTTTGTTTATGTAGTGTTTCATATTGTTGCTTTTGGGAGGTTTTGTTGTTATATTGGGTCTTTGGGTTTTGAGAAAGAAGCTGAAGTTGGGTGGGTAGGGAGGGAGAGAGAATCTGGAAGGACTTGTGACAAGAAAAGACTATGATCAAATATATTTTAATTAGAAAATTGTTCTAAATAATAAAATGTACATAAAAATGTAGTTTGAAAAGTTCAGTAGTTAATACAAAATTACTGGAAAGGCTGAATGTGATGATACTTGCCTATAATTTTAATACATTATAGGCTGAGAAGAAAAATTGGTGAAGTAGAGGCAAGCCCAAGACACCTTGTTTCAAAAAGGAAAATAAACAGAGAGTTCAGTACAGCGGGGGTGGGGGGATGCTGGACTTCTGCTATGTAGGGCTGGTCACTGAAGAAGAGAGCACCAGGGGTTTCCTCAACTGTGTTTACAACAGGGGACAGAACACATGGAAATGTGAATGCTGAAAGGCAAGGCTATGCAGACACTTGACAGAGCCCATCCTCACCAATTAATCTTTAATGAACTGGTTTACATTTCTAGAGAGACTTTTAGGGAATACAGTGCACAAAGGAGAACAAAGAATCTCTTTGTTTTATTTCAGACTGGACCTGGGCTGGGGGTTGCTTTGAAAAGGCAAAGAAAGGAGCCCACACGATGATCTGGAAGTTTCTTTTTTCTTCTCTGAGCATGGGGGTGGAGTGGGTATTGGGGGAGGAGATGCTACATCAGCATTCATGTGTCAGAAGTTACCAAGGTGTCTGCTACTGGCTGAGGAGGCTCAGGGAGCTTCTGCAAAGGGCTCTCCTTGGACAGTTTTTAAATGAGCATTGGATAAAGAACAGGGCCTCCTAGAAGATTCATCTATCCTAACCAAAGAAACAAGAGAAATTTAAGGATACAAAATAATAGCAGACATCACAGTGGCAATAATTTTTAAAGTCTAGTTAGACTAAGCCTCCAACCATGGTGGCAAACACATTAGCCCTGGTAAAAAAAACACAACTTCTTGGTACATTTTAAGCATTTGGAAACTTTTCATTAATAATAATAATAATAATGATAATGATAATAATAATAATAATAATTCTTTTTATATTTTCATCTAAATAATCAGCAAATAGGTTGAACAATAATACTACCAATAGATTAAAGATATATAAGGCTGCATTAAAATAATATTATTTAAAATCAGGATGACTCATTATGAAAAGTCTATCCTGAGAGAAGCAATATGTATACTGGAAAGACTGAAATACTATTGTTTCTACAGGCACAAGCCTTGGGTTCCTATCCAGTTTCCTTCTATAAGCACACTGGCTCGAACCACTGATAACTAGGCAGATGTCGCACAACAAAAGGGAAGGACAGCATTTGTGAAAACTGTTAAGTTTCAACCACTGCTAAGAAGCTCGAGTAGTATCTTTTCAGAGAATGTAATTTTAGTCAAACTGTACTTTGTGCAGAGAGAAACTCATGGAAGAGAGCAACTACAAAGGGCATAGCTACTGAGGTCTCCCCAGAGTCATCTGACATGGCAGGAACATGCACATAGTTTTCCAGTCTTCATCTGGAATTCTTACTTATAAAGAAGACATAGCTATACACAAATAGTCTATGTATCACCCTCAACAGTTATAAGACTATGACCAAGTTCCTGTCTATGTATCACTATCATCTGCCACAAGAAAGTGAATCCAGGTGAGCTTCTTTAAAGCTCAAATAGTAGTATTTGATGTAGAAATGTCAAATAAAAATAATTTCAATTTCAAAGCCAAGCACACACACTCTTTTGACATCTTGTAAACTTTCTATATGGTTCACGTTGACAACTAGCAAAAAGAAATTGGAAATGGCTCTCCCATATCATCAAAAACTACTGAGAGGAAAAGGAAGGAAAAGCAGATAAAAATAGTTAAACATTACTGTCAGTTTAAATGCAGTGAGATAATAATAAAAATTTCATATTCTGTGTTTAAAATCTTCCTTAGGTGAACATGGCTGATACTCCCCACACTGACACCTTGGGAAGGACTGCTTCCTATTTTTCAGGAAAAAAAAAACAGCAACAACAATAACAACAAAAAGATGTCATATGAGACAGCTTTGAAAATTCCATGACGAATAGGGTCACAGGAGTGAAAGATAAAGGACCCATTCACAGCACATTTAGACAAATTTAGAATTAGAGGAAATGATTCTAAATGAAAACAAAGTAATTGGGTAGGGATATAAGGATTATTTATTACTAATAACATGTCATGTGCACAGAGATGCTAGAGTAGAAGTGTGTAGATTCATTACTTTAATTAC